ACTAATTATGATTTTTCAGAGCCTAAATGTTAAAATTCTAAACCCTAAAAAATCTTTTGACTCCTAAAACCCTCAAAACTAAACCCTAATACAACATAGTTAACCCAAACATAAATAATATAATGAATAAATAATTTTGAAAAAGTGACATTTTTGTAAAGATTGTAAAAATGTGGCATTTTTGTAAAATGACACTTGAAAAGTGTCATTTTTTGAAATTTCTCTATAAACTAATATACGGTATGCAGGAAGAAGCTCGGAATAACTATTTAAATAATTTTTTTAATTATTTTTAATTATTATATATATATATATTAAGATTGATATAACTAAATGATGTTTAAGATTTATGCTCATAATCTATATTTATAAGAAAATAAAATATCATTTTCAAATGCTTAATATGAAAGTGAACCAAATGATGATATAGATACAAATATTTTTATTTGAACGCTATATTTTCAATTTGCTCTAAAATTTAGCATATTCTTCTTGGATCTCTTTGTTATAATCTGTGTCCATTACTGTAAGAAAAAATGAATATTGAGTCCACAAGTGGCCAAAAAGATAAAACTTATATAATGAAATATGCAATAATTCATAGATAAATATATAGGTAAAACAAATAAGTAAAATTGGTTACTTTTAAATCTAGTTGTTTATATTATCTAAATTTATATACCTTCTACAATGTTTTAAAACTAGTAGTTTTTTTATACAACTTTATTTTTATTCATGTCTTTATGGATATTTGCATAAAACACTCTATATAAAAATCAAAATCATATGTGAGATAAAAAAAATTCTTTAGTTTTTAATCAATAAATGAAGATCATAACATTTTCAAAAAAAAATTGCATTTTCTAATACTCGTTTGGTATTATTTGCATAGTGAAAAAATTTAGTACAAAATTGTCAATGGTGTGTCAAGATTAGTTTTGCTTGGCCTAAACTTACAAAATTATAGTATCAATTATTGCTATTTAATACCATTCATTACAGATTAAAACGTTTGCATATAAAGTTTAATTATAATACAACACATGCTATTGAAATGTTTCCCCTCAAGAAGTTTCCATACGTTTTTAAAAGACTTTTTCTTTTACTTGCAGAGTTAATTTGATCTTAAAATATTAGTAAAGTACAAATTCAAAAGTAAAAAACAATTTTGAATTATTTTATGTAAAATTATTTTAAAATATATAAAGTTTTCTCGTGCTATTAAAATATTGATCTATTAAACATGATGGAAAATTATATAATGACATTATGGCATGTCGCCAATACAAAAAAAAAATTGGAACATCTTATAAACTTTTTATAGTTTATTATAGAATAGTTTGATTTTAGAAAAATTTTAAAAAAATGCCACTTTACAAAAATATCACACTTTTGAAATCTTTACAAAAATGCAATTTTTTCAAAATTATTTTTTCTTTATATTATTTATGTTTGGATTAACTATGTTCTATTAGGGTTTAGTTATGAGGGTTTATGGGGGTTTAGAAATCAAAACATTTTTAAGTGTTTAAAATTTTAAGATATAGGATTTAAAAATCTATAATTAGTGGCATTTTTGCAAATGAACACTCCTAACTGGTATTTTTGCAAATATGCACATAAAAAATGATATTTTTGCAATTTCTCCTTGATTTTAATATAGGATATATTTGATTTTTATTGTAATAAAATAATAAATCTAGATATTTTAAAATATAGGATATATTCTTAATATACTTGATCACAAAATGACAAAATAACAAAAAAATTGAAAATATTTTTTTTTTAAATATGATAGTTCTAAGTAAAACCATTTTAAAAAATTTGAAAGGAGATATTAAAGAAAATTATCTATTAGAATATGGTTTTACATATTTATAATTAATTTATGAAGATAATTCGATGTTAAATGTTTACTTTAAATTAATATATTGATATCATATTTTTATTTTAGAGAATCAATACAAAAATCTTAAAATCTAGAGGGACCACTGTCAAATTAAGTAAATATAAGGTTCTATATTAATAAAATGAAAAATTGTTAACATAAAAAATGACATGTGGCAGCCTGTCAAAGTTTCACTTGGTAGAAACCTTAGA